TATACTAATGGTAATTAGTTATCATTCTTCCACCATTCATCCTGGATGGTAGTCGGGGTTTACAGAATTCACTAAGTCGCGTTTCGCAGAGAAAGAAAAACCAATGTCAAGCTAGTCATCAGGATGTAGAAACTTTTTAGCCCTGCTCCCCAGCAGTAACGTAGAATGGTTACAGGCTCTTCCTTGACTGTTTTTCCTTGCGTTTGGTCCTAGTTCAACTTGATCTTAAGTTGTTCGTCTTTGTTTTACTTTTCTTCGTTTCGATAGCGGTGACAAGCAGCCACCGTCGCCGTCTTGCTGCGGCCCACACAACCTACAACATCATCATCATCATCAAGTGGATTGGTAGCAATAGTCGTTTGTGGGCCTGTCAAGCGAAGGAACCCGCCACTCAATCGCTTACAGATAAGCTTACGCTGCCATTGCAGACAGCCGACTACAACAAAACGGTCCAGGAAGATGTCCATTTCTCGAAACGCTTTGAATTGCGGCCAACAGGACAGCGGTATATTGACAGCGCTGAGCGGTGGTCCAAGGTTTCGCTATCGAATGGCACCCGTACGCAGATGGATAATGTAGCAGTGGTTACAGATATGGTCATGAGTCCGTTCTACAAGGACGTCGAGTATCAGTCCCCGCAGTCTTACCGGGGCAGCACACGGCAGCAGAAGTAGCAGCGATCGTATCGATAACTTCGTTAATTTGCTATCAGAAAAAATGGCTGATTCATGATTCAAGAGGACTTTGCAACTGATTACGCCTTTGGGTATCTCCAAAATGCTGTATGGAAAGGGGAAAGAATTTCGGAAACTTAAACGGTTAGCTTTTTTCAAATACTCATCAAACGAGATGATTAGAGGTGGCCCAATCTCGTCCCAGGCAATCGTGTGTTGTCTCGTAACTCTGTTTGCCCCTATCATGGGTAGCTATAATAGTAAAGTGCCGAGTATGTAGGATGGTGGGCGTCGTCACGTGTTTGGCTGCACTATTATCTCTCATGTTGTCGTTTCGATGGTGTTGCCATACCGTATTCGAGAGACAGGTCGACTGTCATAGTATCCCCATTTTTTTGTTCGTAGTTAAGACTATTGCACGGTTGTTACTACTGCCGATGTCGTTGTTGTGGTTGTTGCTGGGCTCAGTGTTCGTATTTTTCCGTATGGATCTGGGCGTGGTGTTGTACGGGGTGCGTGGTTTATCGGTGTAACCCGTCTACCGTTACATTACATCATCAGAAACCGAACGTCTCCGTATAGAAAGCAACCGAATCGCAAATTAGAGGTAAGCGAATAGCAGCATCGCCTTGTCCCGAACGACTGTAAGGAAGTCAACCCAAGCCATTTTTGCTCTGGCCCTTCACATTTTTTCTTTGCCCTTTTCTTTTCTTCTATAGCGACGACCGCAGCCATGCGATGTGAACGTGAACAATATTTTCTTTTAATTTCCACCTCTGAAGAACACATATCGATCGGCTGTTATCCTATATAGAATGGTATCGTCTATATCGCAAGGACTCACTGTTTTTCATTGGGCGATTTTGGCACACAGAATCCTAGAAAAAGTATACACAACCCTTTTTGTGATGCTGATTCGTCTTTTCCCGTCACTGCTGTTTGTTTGTTTGTTTGTTTGTTTGCCTTGCAGATAACCCAGAATAGGAATACTGTCCGGGGATATTAGTTTGGTACTGTTCCTTCTTCGTTATATACGTAGCTATACAAATTATCCACCCGTCCGCCTTATCTACCTGCCTACGATCTATCTAACTCCTGCTGTAGTAGTTTATTGTCATTCCTGTAAATTGAATTCATTATTGTTCCGCCATTGCTGTAGTCGTCAATCGCAGATATCAATGTGATATGCGTCAAGATATGATATAATAGGATATAATAACAATAATTAGCGCTATCAAGACAGCCACGACACATTTATTTATGTTAATTATACTGATACATAACGACAATATTGGTATGATGAAAATAATAGCGGTGAGCGACAATCGTAACGTTACGTTAACAATTGAAACGTTGGTAACGAATAGCGTTCCTATTACTGTAGTCTGCTAATGTTGGAAAGGAAGCAACGTGTTATCCTGGCAGCAAATTCAAGAAAAGGACCTTGCTTTTAGGAATGTCCTCGATGCGGCAGTCTGTGCCTTAAACGATCCTATGCGTGTCGCGCCTTTGAGGAGCACGAACACTCCACGCACGATGACACGAAGTTTTGTTGAATCACCACTTCGTCTGAGGGCGCGACTTTTCCGCTCAATGTTGACATCTAATTGTAGTAGCATTCAATCGGTGCCAACCTTTTTTGGTCTTTCCGGGATGCTGTGAAAATTTACACAGCCCGACAATTGCCGCCCGACAAGATGGCGTGTTGCTGCTAAAAAGTTTGAACGCCCAAGGGTCGTTGATTGTAACAGATGTTTGATTTGAGTGATAACGGTCGCATCTACGCTCACTCAAGTTAATAATAAGAACGTTGATTTAGCATTAGTAGATAGCTGAGGTAAATGTAGGCAGAACAAAGCGGCAAGAAACGGCGTACTAAGACTGTCAAAATTACAGTCTCGACACAAACGCGTTTCGGGACGCGTTTCCGTTAGCCGACAGAGTCTAGATCGATAATTAAAGGGCGTTAGCGGCGATGCTGTATCTTGTGTAGGTCCGCATCTGTGCTATAATACATGACTGTGCTAATTATATAATAGACTATAACAGCACAATAATTCATAACCAATAAACAGTGGGTCAATAGTAACAATATTGCGTTCACTAGATCGATGCAAGCGTGACAAATATTGACAATGGGAATATTTCATAGTAATAACTATGAAACAACCCCCCCCCCCCCACCTTATTTATGCAAAGGTACACGATTGTTGACTGTCTCGAACAACTGCTATTTTCTCGGCAGTAACGGGATGTTTTAGTCTTCATCCATAGTATACCGTTTCATGAATTATGTATTTGTTTGTCTATGTATGCTTGCATGTATACTGTTGTGGTTTTCTCGTGCATAGACAAGCTTCAGCTTCTGACCTCTGTTCGGACAGATCCGTCCTGATCTTCATCAACGACGAAACAATATAAGAATTGCGATGTCTTGTTTAACGAAGGGACGAATACATCCTTACATTGACAATAATAGTAATAAGAATTATTATAATCGCAGCTGATGATGATGATGATGATGATGATGATTATAATAATAACCGTATTTAATGGCTGTCGTTGTGTGTCGCATTGTTTTGCAGTTAATCAATGTTGCTTGTCTTAGCAGATTCAATCGTACTTATCAGTGATAGTAGTAGCATTGGACTTTGAAAAATCACAACACGGCGGTCGTCTGCTTTGTTTTCCCACGGAACCAGCGCCAGCAATAGCTGGAGCGAATGTACGTATCGTTTGTCAGCTATCGCAGGCTACTCAGACGCTCAGCGTCTTTATCGATTCTCGCTTGAAACCGCTAATGCAACAGGTGTGCCGTCAATCTTGGCTACAGTTGAGGCTGCTAACATCACCACATATATAGATACACTGATGCTTTTCTGCGTTAATTTGCTTTATGTTACTGTATGCCTTCCGTAGGCAACAGTCCGTTATGTCACAGTATTGGAGACGCGGTCTTAATTGATTAGAACGCATGCTCGTCAAGCTTTTGACGTTTGTGTCTGCCGTTTTTATAGTACCCCATTAAAAAAGGCCATAGACGATCACAGGTCTCTGTTAATTGTGTTTGTCCGTCTTTCACGAGAGCCGTATAGCGTTGTATAGTATTTTTTTGTCCATTATATCTGTGTCGTTGGTTGCGGTCGTACCATTCAGCTCTGTCGACATTCAGCTTGTCTTTATTGTTGTGTGCGTACTAGGCGTAGCGTAACGTATTGTTGTTGCTGTTGCTGTTGTTGTTCTATTCTAAAGAGATGATCTGTTCGGCATGGTCAACACAGGTGGAAGCAGAGTTCGCTTTTTTTTAATTACCTCTTTTTTGGTTTATTTGTTCCCGTTTGTATCGAGTGTAAAAAACGCATTTGTCTGCTGCAGTGGCTACCCGGTTTAATTTTTAGGGATGTTATCATCGTTTCGGATCTCAGACTTGAGCTTAACGAACTCTTTGGCCACTTCGTCGTTGTTTCGCTGCGACAGAATACGCAGGATTGTCCAGCCCGTCTCGTCCATATGAATGCGTCGTCCAAGGGGCAGCCAGCACGCGCAGGAACCTTGCTCAACGATGTCCTTGAGCTGCATAACGGCGACGCCGACAAGACGATCGTCCCTGGCGAAGCAATAGTCCTTGATGCATATATGTAACTCGTACGAGGCGGGCTGTTCATCATTGGCGATAATAAAGTGAAACGTTTCATTATACTTTGGAGACCAGGTGTTGTTCTTGGATTTGGTCGCAAACCGGCGTTTCTTGTCGTGAAGACGAGGACCAATCAGGTTCACCTGAAAATCGTCAGCACGAAACAAGGACAATGTGATGATAGTTGTGAGGTAGGGCGAAACAAACCGAGCCAGACTGCAATCAATATATTTAGGTTAGACTCTATCGAGGCAGCGGGAACAGGTTCCTAGAGCAGGGATAGGTCTGCTATTTGAAATACGAAGTACATGGCCTAAGTGTTTCGTGCGTGCATTTTCGAGCCTGACGAACTGGCGCGGACCGTTTTAAAACTCATTCCGTCCTACGATGATTACGTCCGATACACAAACAGTATCGGCCTGACTATCGTGTGCCAAACGGAACTATGATATTACAATACATAATGACCCAAGGAAATTGACAGACAGACAGAAAAACGTGAGAAACCACCTACCTCTACAAATGGTCTGAACATTGAAGTATTTGGCCACTTTAGGTCATTTGCAGCAACAACCTAGGTAAGGTAACACAACGTTAGTATACGTCATTTGCTTCAAATTCCCAGTTAATCGAGCTATAGAGAAAATGCTGTGCACGTTCATAGTGCAGATGGCGGGGGCAACACATGCACGCGTTGTCTCCATCCTGACAACCGCAACCATTATTTACAGAAATACTCTATGTAGTCTTCCTTGTGCACATACCTTAACGGTAATCTTGTGTTCGCCCGTTCCAGGGTGGGTGAACAGATCAACTTGTACCGATACCTGTTCATCGTTGGGGGACATAACGTGTTAGAATCGACCACACACGCTCTGCCTTTTATTAGGGACGTCCTTGTCCACCATAACATGTAAAACACATACCCACACAGTATGAAAGTACTAATGGTCCGAAGTAAACTTGCCCGTAAACTATCGTCTTACTTACAATTTTACTTCTGAATTCATTCGAGACACAGTAAGCCCTCTGCTCTGTAAAATGAAGTGAAAGCCTCAAGCAAAATGTGTTTGCGCTTATTTCCGGCTTTCATTAAGTCAAAGTACCTATCTTCTATATACAAAGGATAGTATACACTAAAAAAAGACTCATCTACTAGAAAAGACATCGGAAATGTCTTGCTAAATGCATCACCTCTCCCACGGCGCCTTCGTCGTGGCTAGGCTGGTCTTGTTTAAGCTGCGAGCCCACGAAAGTTTTAACCAGTGCGTCGGTAGTCTGCGTGTACAAAGAGAGTGCATAACGAAGGCTTTGTAGCTCGGGAGACTTATCCAAAAATGTCTTTTTCAGTCCGTTTCCCCCGGCATGAAAATACTGCTTTATGGTATCCAGGGCAACGTCTAGCACCGCACATTGGCGTGGTGTCAGATTCTTTTCCACCTGGATAGAGGCAAGCATAAAAAAGAAAAACGGAGACGCAATCAATGTTACTTGTTAATATGGCTTTTTTTCTTTGAATAATCATACATGCGCAGCATGATTAAGCTAACCAGTTACCACAGCCAATTCTCGTAGTGTACCCCCATATAAGTAGTGCCCGTTTCAAAACCCAAGGGAACTGTGTACAGAGTACTGTGTTAAACCCCGGACGTTCTGCGTAACAAATCATTCGCATAATGTTCTGCTGCTGAGTTCAAGTTGACACACACTTGCCATCTAGACTGTATGTATTTATGTATGTATGTATGTATGATTTCAACAAATTTAACGACAAAGTGATCTGAAGGGCGCTGCACTAATATAAACAGTAGTTCTCGACGTTGCTTGTCGTTCGCCACCGCACTCACTTGCGACTTTCAAATTACCCGCCGCGTACTTTTGTGAATGGATATGTATGACAATGCCGCACGTGCATCTCTTAGCTTATGTCTGTGTACGTACTTCCATAACGCCCAAATTAGGCAGCTTGTTGGAGGTGGAAATGGAGTTCTTGAAGAGTCGTGACATATCCTCGATCTTTGCAGCGTTCACGTTCGTCAGATTGGGCAGCACGCTCTTTTCCGAAATGGGTGGCAGCACCACGGTTTTCTCCATGGTGTGCACGACAATTTTCCACAGCTCCTTGAGCAGGCGCTTGAGGACGGTTCGCTCGCAGAGCTGCGCAAACAGCGTCAGTTTTCCGTCCAGAATGTCCATGAGCGGATGAAGAACGTGGTCCGCTTCAGCGGCCACCTCGTTCCTCGCCTGAGCCGTTTGTGCCATACTGCCGCCACCTTTAATTGCGCAGAGGAGCTGGTTGAGTTCGGCCATCGAGGCTTTGATCGTGCCCTCGAGACTTGTTGCGAAAACACAGCTAAGGTCGTCGAGTACGCCGTTTAGGCTTTGCTGAAGCTCTTTGAGGATATTGGAAGCATCGGCTTCAAGCTTCTCGCCTCCCATCGACTCGAATAGCTTTTCGAGCTGCACCCGCAGCTGCTGAATGTTGTTCATCAGAATGCAGGCCGTCTTCTCCTGAGAGACGTAGTTCGGGAAATCCTTTTTGACGATGTCCGCGTACGCGGTGAGGACCTTGACGATCGTTTTGGCGAAACGCTTCATATAGCGCTTGACGATCTCCGGGTCGGGACATTCAAGTTTCGAAATAACGTCGAAACACTGGGTCAGCTGGGTGAAGACGTCGACCACCGAATTCGAGAACATCGTGTGTTCCGAGCTTTGCTGGAACTACAGATTGCAAAACGGAACAGAAGGCGAGAAGTCGAACTAAGTTGGATTACTATGTATATTCAAAGATACATATATATAATACCCAGCAATGTTGCCTTGACTTGATGAAATGGCCAGGTCTTTTTAATTGAATTTTTGCTTCTGGTTTTTCTTTAAATTTACATTATCGAAGTTTTCCACCAGTTACATTAGTGCCAAATGTTACCTCTGCTTAGCAGAGTTAGCATATGGTGCTATCTTATAGTTTCTATAAATATCCTTCATATTTAACAAATAGAACGTTTTGACCACGCGGTTTGTACAGTGATTAAATAAATCTGCTGTAACTTGGAATAAGACTGCTTATTATGGAACTACCCTGTAAAAAATAGTTTTGAGCCCTCTAACTCACGACTTGCGACTACGACGATAATTATAACACTTTCTACGTTAAATTGACAGTCAGATGAGTTTAATTGTGCGATAAGTTCCTAACTGCATTTATAATTACCCCGTCCTTTTTGTCCCGGAGGAAGGCGCTGTGCAGGTACTCAAGCGAGACATCATCGTTTTCATTAAGCCATTGCATTACGAACGGTTCGAACCACGACGGGTATTCGGGAACGGAATCCTAACATTTTCAGAATCATACGGTGCATAGTGAGTTCGCTGTTTCCAATGTCCAGTAAAATATTTGATAGCTACAAGTGATTGCTATTTAGTCACAAGTAAATACAATGTATTCTTTTGCATCCTGTTATCGTTGAGCGTCTATACGGTTTTCCATATAAAAACAAAAACTCAATTTAGTATTAAATGGATAGTTGTATTGTTTCCATTGAGAAACAATAAGCTTGGAGCAACTGACAATCTGCCTCAGTCGCTCGTCCATGTTCCACACAGATACAAATTTGCTAACGCCTAATACCATATTAATATGATTTAGATCGTATTGAACAGACCTTGTAGGGTACGATGTCGCTAACGTAGTTGTTATAGAACCACTTAACCTTGAAGTGAAGGTTCATGTACGCCGACGATTTGCACAACCGATGCTGCTCATGCTCCTCTAGGGCGTACTTCATATCTGTTGAGGAAAAGGAGGCAGAGAACGGAACAGAGAAAAGAGTGAGCGGAACGCAGAACAGAAAGGCAAAACGACACGTTGCAAGAAAAAAAGGACAACTGATACCCCGGTCATACATGGTCTGAGCGGGTCAGCCGCATGGGCCTTCGGATGGGTATATAGTAGGTACTTGACAGTTGTCGATGCCTGTACGGCATGCGCATCAGAGTAAAATGACATATTCTTTTGTGGTTTATCGGATATCCATATGGTGCGTATTACAGTTTTCTGCTTATAGTTTGGCCATATCCGCCGAGGCACGAGGGGTTGCGGTAGAGAGAAGAATGGGTGCAGAAGATGAATTGAGTTGTGCGTACTCACCAATGGCAAACACCCTCCACATAATAGATGCGCTTAGCTGTCCGATGTTTAGTTCCTGCGGAAATTGGCTTAGCACGGGTGCATAACTAGTACGGTCTTCCTCGATCACCGAGACCTGCGCACGTGCAGGGTGAGTTTGACCGAACAAGCAGTGTTAATGACATGGGGTATTCCGCTGTTATATATTACTCCAGCAGGCAAATTTATTGAAAAATATCTTTAGTAAATAATTTTTGTCTGACCCTTTTTTAACTCGGATAGATATTTCTCTTCGTACGTATCCGTATAGATTTTTCCTAGTGAAGTTGGTTAGCAATTAAATAAAAAAAAAAAAGTATTTTTTGATTATTTTTCGTATCTGTTTGACTTTAGCGATCTCAAAGTGCTCAGTCCTATAACTAATATTAGGTACAGTGGCCTTCAGACGGACGTACGGATAATTCTTGTAGCGAATTATATTTTTTAAATATTAAAGTTTGACAAGATATGAATAATCAGACTTTTAGGTTATGTTGTGAAGCTTGTTGATAATGGTAACCATCCATCCATCTTACCTGTAGCGCGATGAGCTTATGCCAGAAATCTAAATCTTTTAGACTTGGACCTTGTTCGTCTTTCTTTTCGTCGGTATTCTGGCAGCAGATATCGAGATTTACAATTAACAACAATTTAGTTTTTGTCATCTTACAAATAACATTGTACTGTGTAATTTCATTATATAGTACGGAACGGACCAAGTGTAAGTTAAAGCATATTATATTTTAAAACGGGTCAAGATCTTCAATTCAGAACTGTTGATTCATAAAATTTGGCTAATGACAAAACGCAGGATTGGCCAAAAATAGGCAGAACGTAGTGAAGTTGAGCATTGCTTCATTAGAGGTATATTGTCTGCCGTACACCTACATATGAATACTGTCTATGTCTATGTAGAAAAAGTACTGCCATCTGCCACACGCTCAAAACATCCTTTTCCATTTGCTGTGGTCTAATATTGTTAGCAGTTCAACGGACGCTTGTTCTCGGAAACTTTGTTCGACTTTAACGCATGCCTATATCCGCTCTTTTCCTACCCCCAAACATAGTGTCCATTGTAAAAAGACTCCCCGTTAGCGTGGCGTTAGACACTGCGTCTTCAGTCCCGCTCCCGTCAACTCATTTGGACACAGTTCCAACACTCGACTTAATCTGCGTGTAGCCGCTACCACGACAAATAATAGGCGGCACTTATAGTAGCAGAGCGTTAGAGCCCAAGCATTTACCGTAGGCTGTGCAGTCACGGCGTCTGACGTTAAGGCAGCCTGAACAAATCGGGGCAAAAACGTTGCAGGTTGCTGTGTTCTAATGTGTTGTGTTGCTTCTGCGCGAACTGGTTAGCTACCAAGACTGTAGGATGTCAGATTTTTACCGTTAAATCAGCCACCATTGACACCAACTACACTGACCCCACCTTATTCAGGGAACTTTTTTTTTTAACAGAATGTCAGTACAGTATATTTTCAACAAAGAGCGCGATTGACAACAACAATTTGTACATTACTGCAGAAACTGAATGCCCTATTTATGAAAAAAGAGGACATGAAGGAGTGCTTTGTCATGAGTTTCAGCTTGAACGGGCAAAATAGCACATAACCCAGCTGATATCTGAAGACGTTTATGAACGACGTCCTGATGATGGCGTTTACGCTACTGGAATCGAAGACGATGCAGGATAGAACGATGCGTTAAGTATTTACGCGCACCTAACCAAATTCATACAAATCGTATCATCTATCTTTAGGTCTCGGCCACAAAAGGATCAATAGCCTTATAAATCCAACTGAGAGCGGTAGGGAAACAACATCTGCTTTAATGGTGGAAGCCAAATGATTTTCTATAGGCATGTATGAAAAACGAGGTCAATCTAACGACATACGACACGAAATGTTTTGTGTCAGGGATCAATCAGCAAAGCTACAGTAGTGAGGACCGCTTATAAGATAGCAGACAGTGAAAATCGTTTTTAGATGTGGTTTCAATATGCTACTAAAACCACACGCACTTTTTGTAGTTGCCCACAATCCAAGTAATGGGTTTAAAAGTCTGGGAAAACGAGCCATTGGCTAGTTAATTCTCATCAGCCAGGTCTCTGTGTGAGCTTTCCAAGAACAAACCCACTCAGAAAAGGGATCATTCCTGAGTTCGCCATATAGATCGATGGAACTTTAGGTATAAAAACACGTATTTTTTTGGAATAACAGGGTTTGCTTACGTTGTACGTTTTAGTTAGCATGGCGTCCACAAGCACTTGCAGATAGATTGACATTAGTTGGGCATGCGTCATGTATGACTCAAAAAATTTGCCGTATGTTGGTAACCTTCTCAAAAAGGAAAATCAAGCACAAAAATAAGAAATATAAAACATGTTGAATTAAAAACAGTTGAACTCTAGGGCTCACCTGGAACTCCCTGTTGTATAAGTCATAACAGTTGTCGAAGAGGAACTGATACGTTGAGCGGAGACATGCTGAAGCACATTCCTTCACCACAGTGCTAGCTCTCGGTGGACTAGAAAGCTCTTGCACCTGTAGGCGATTGTAATAACAAAAACATACATACAGATAACAAATTTATCCAAAAACCAGTTGCTTACTGACTGCCTAACTTTCCTCGTAGGGGCGATCAACTTAAGTGTCATGAGACAATTTGCCTTAGGTTATTCCGTTTCCTCGGGCTAGCCAAAATGTCAGCTCCGCTACAAGCCACCTCGCGTATGTGGAAACGAAAGAAGCAGTACATACTTTCATGCGGAAAAATGTGATGGAGGTTAGCAGGTCCACGGTCGACTTGAGGTCCTGTAGTTTTTCTGCGCTTGAAGCCGGGAAATTGTTTCTGTACATCGACAGATCGATACGTAGTGAATTGTGCAAATGATCCAATAGTTTGACGAACTTCTCTTTCTGCAAAACGTTAATACAGTGTAGTTTTCCTATTATTTCGTCTCTAATTTTTTCTCTCTCTGAAAGAGTATTCGAGTAATTATTTCGCGTTAGAAAATGGCTAACAAAGGAAGACTTCGATGAAGTCTTCCTGTTTTCCTTTATTTCGTCATACGTTTCAGACAGTAACATGTGCTCGATGTATGTATTCTACTAATATGGTTTATTGTTTATATTCAGTGCTCTATGAATAAAACAAGCCAAGTAATAATTAAAGAAATTCTTTTTCTTGTCTAGCCGCAGCATTATAATGAGTATCAGAAGGAAACATCATAGCAAAAAGGCACACCTAGAATTGTGATACTAATAATATTGTCACAAATGATAAAACACACAATACTAGCTGAATAAATAACACAAAAATAATAGTAATTGCTTTTTACGCTGAAATTAGACGGCTATCGGTGTGCTGCGTTGATGCAATTTAATTGTTTCCCTATGTCACGACCAATACGCCCTCCATATTGCTAAGACGAGCAATCTCGTTCATGATAGTGAGTCAGAGCCATTTGCTAAGCGAAAGACCAGAAGCGACTACTTACTGTCAGTGGACCCGTTATACCAGCGAACTGCCTTAGTTCGTAACAATCTAACAGGAACAGGTTAAGGCAATAATCTGAACTGGTCTTCTGTACGCCAAAAATTCGTTCTCAGCCCAAACTACTACTGCTGTTGCTTGTGGACCGATCGTTTAAATTCCTGATCATAGCGACCTATGGCGAAGACGCTTTTGCAAAACTGCTCGCCCGTATTTTGAATGAATCCGGTTTCGAGCTCAAGTCAATTTTACTGTCGAGCTGTCGTTAGGCCCTCACCTTATAGTACGTGCATGAACGCAACATCGACAGATTCAGCTCGTCTACTTACTCCTTCCCATGGACTAGGCAAAAGCCCCTATCACGGTAATAGCCTCTTGTTGTGGGGTAAGATATTATGCAGAACGATATTTGAGAAAGGAAGCCCCGATACGTTCGCTGAAAGAGAAAGTAAGAGGAACTTTTGAATTTTGTTTATGGCACAAATGCCATATACATATGATCCTTTTTTCTTGCTCTCTCTACATTTTACTGATCCTTTTAGGGTCTCTCGAAGAATAAACGAGCCGCAGTAAAATGCTTGCTGAAAGGCCAGAGATGCCGTCCATCGAACGACTGTGTTTGTAGGCGACTGCCCTTCCCTGTCAGAGCGTTGAATCGGTATCGCCCGCTACTCGAACGACTTCGTACATCGGAAATTGTTGCTCGCTTGAAACTGACTACGGTTACTAGTAAGGCAACAGGACGTTGCCTCACTTGCTGCCGGGACCGCGCTGAGGATCGATCTATCATAAATACGTTGACTGAATAGTAAAATGGTAAAAAAAACTGAATGGAAGTCAATGGCCGCACACGGGCTTATGGAAGGTGGGCCCTGTTGAGGCTTTTATGTTGTCGTAGTTAATGTTGTTACTGCGGGCGCTCAGCAAAGGCGCAATCAACGGTGTATACAGTTTGAAAGACTACGCACTCACGATTTCATAAGAGACAGTGATAGCTAAAATCACGATGTTTTTGAGCATATTTGCCCGCCAAAGTACACTGACAGACGGCGTGCTCAATACAGTCGTAGGCGATCTGATGGATATTAGATATAATAATATGTTCTAAATAGTCCTTTAAAACGCATCTAGATACTACACTTCGGCAATGGCATTTACATACGACTGTATTAAATTGTCGAATCATATGACGGATGAATTCGACGCATGGCTGTTTGTCTTTCATACAACAGACGGATCCCTGCAATAGAGCTGCTTAAGTATAGCGGTAGTCCTACCTTATACAGAATAGGTACGTGTGGTAAAAAGCGTAATCGCCAACGTACCGTAAGTGTTGTTGCGCTACTCTTTGGTCAACTTCTGGCTTTCGCGTGAACTTGGTTTCGTCGCAAACGCACGCGATGAATGAGGCTTCCCGGAAGCTCGCTCATGACGACCATTCAATATGCCGTCTGCGACAGGATCTAAGTCTTGGAAAAACAACACGCCGCGCATATCGGGATGGTCGCCAGAGGTACCAAATATCAGCTAAGGTGAGCAGAAGAACGAAGAAGCAGTGTCTTCCTCACAAAATTGCTGTTGGTTTGTTACTCTTTGCGTGGGATGCGTACTGCAATGTGGCCCAGACTAGTAAATGAGCGACTGCTAGTGACTTCTAAATGCGCAAGAGCGAGCGCCGTCTTAGGTCTTAAGCCGGCGGAGCAGACGTCGCAGGCTCACAACGCGGCTCGGTAATGTAGAAGATAATCGCGCGACTCCGTTATAGCGAACCCCAGAGGAGGGTCCCGCGTGCCTGGACGACTGGCAGTTATACAGTGAGAGCGTGGACGCCTCTAGGCCGCATGTTGGGACCATACGTGGGCAGTGCAGCCAAATGTTACGGCTTGTGTTAACAAACTTAGCAGTTTTCGTCGCTGTTGGACAAGGTGTTGCTTGAATAAATAGTACCTGTGCCGGTGCTAGGTCTATATATATGGATCTTGACTATCACTTACTTGACCAACTTTACATATATGCAAAGTTCGTCTATCCATCTCTATTTCACGATGACCGAACGTTGCTCGCACAGACAATGGGTACGCCAGAGGTGCACAGCCGTGAGCCAATCTGAGAGCAGTAGCAGAAGCTGTGTCCATCTAACGTGGATGGCTAATTTCCGAAGAGAGCGCAATTGGTTGCTTTTACTTTTATCGCTGGATTAGCTGGGTCAAATGTTCGCTCGTCTGGTGCCCGTAAAGAGTTGGCTTCCAAGCCCTCCTCCAATTGTCCTTATCCCGAGGCCATTGCACAGGATCAGTTCGCGCATACGCCGTTTAACGAAGGGTAAAGTGCGATACCTAAGGATTATTTGAGAGCGGTGTTCGACCTGGTTGGCTAACAGACACTGAAGACAAAGCCAGAAACGCTACTTCCGACTTATACGACAAGCGGATCTTCAAGAGAGACAACGTTGTAAGCATAGATAGTAATGGCAACGCTAATAATTGCTAGTTAAGCTTATGATATGATGACATGAACGTGATCTAAAATGCTTCCAGAATGCTCTAGCTAACAATGCTCCCTATAGAGTGGGGCGTAATCAAGCAAGTGCCTAGTGCAGATTATTACTTGAATATATTAAGATTACAATACAGAATCACTGTTATCGTAGGCTAGCACAAACGATTATTTGAAACGCACAGTCAATCACAGTATAGACACGATCAAAACTTAGTCCCACAGTATATAATACGAAACGTAAATCCATATACACGTGAGGAATCGGGGCATAATCGGAGCGAAAAAAAAACCAACGATGAATGTCACAAGATACAAGGTCGCCGATTATAAAACCCAATTGACAATCGTGTACAAAGCTTGCGGTTGAAGGCTGCAGCGAAAGACCGCCTGGTACCAGTAGCTTTTACCGTTCCGTAGCCTTTCGCTTAGCGTTTGGATAACAATAAATGAAAGTAAGAATTTTCCATTTTATTCTTATTTATATTCCGTCGATTTTCTTTGTTATGTACTACTTTTTTCATTAGTTTTACTGTTCAGTCAACCCATGTTTTTAATAGATTTGTACTGTTTATGTTTCGACCTAGTTTTTGGCCATGATATGTATATTTAGTATATTTACTCTTTTTTTTTTCTAAAGCTATACATGCTTTGTCTTTCTAGTAAAGTAAAGTTCCATAATGTATTTCTTTGACCAAAAATAATTACTTACGTAAAGAACTCTTTTTATTTATAAAAAGTGCCGTTGCCCATATAGCAATAGCGGAATGGGCACAGTAGATTAAAGGGCAACGCCTCTATGGAATGTATGTGAAAATATATATACCCCAAAGTTGGACGCGGCGAATCGGTCGCTGGCGGATACAGCGGAAGAAGCCGCCGTATGCGCGTAATAGGCGTTGATGTTGGCTAACAAGGTGCTCATAACAGCCGGCACACCCTGGCACATGTATTTCGTCGAAAGGCAGTGGAAATGACTGTACATTGAGTAATTACATCAGCAGAAATGGTTTGATTTACGACGAGTTAGGTTCAAACGATGCCGCCGTCAACGTTTATTTAAAGTCGATACGGTAACACCGATCGAGCGGGTTTAAATAGCGAGACAATGACAGGATACGCATGAAATGAGCATAACGAAAACAGATAAAGTTAAGTTAAAGTTATCAGTGAAATTTACCCAGATGGAGAAAAGCGATTGAAGTACCGGAAATCCTCATTAATTTTTTTACCAAAAAAAAGGAAAAATTTACCACTTAGTTTTTTTGTGTTCCAATACGGGATCGAAACTGTCTAGCGCATTTTAGTTCTATTTTATTTTGCTTACGTCATTGCTTGGTAAATTGACTCAATGCCATATCTCATAGCAAATTCGTCGACGATTTCTTCGGCGTTTTCTTCGAAGTACACCTTCCAAGCCTCATCTCCTTTAGCTTCCGGTAATTTGACGGCTCCAGCGTTTTGTTCGCACAGATAGTGGAACAGATTCTGCAGAACGAAAAACACAAAAACAAACGGTAGCAGCAAAAATTCAATGGTTTTCTCACAATCAAAATGCACTATTGGCCTAACTGCACGAGTGACGTTGTTGATTAACACATGACTGGCCTAAAAATGTATTTATATTCCATATTAGATGTCCTTTTTTGCCTTGTTGCGAATCTTGGCGGGAAGGTGGTGTGTCGATTGTACAAAAACAATATCAACAAAGATTAAAAATGGAATTTTTGTTTGTTCTGCTTAGTTTTTCAGTTTATCCATGTCAGTTTTACCCTCCTACCTCGTGGAGGCAGGTGTATTGTACATGGTAAGGCGCCACTTTCTCTTCGCCCTTAATCTCGACGCTAATGTGAAGCCGGATGGCGCCTGATACAGCGCTCTTGTCTGTTCGTTTTTCCAGATTGTACCATACGTCCATCTCGCCGGAAAGGGTACGCACTTCGATGATGGTCTGACCAAGAAAATCGTCCGATTCCCGTGTCAGTTTTTGCCTCAGCTTCGATTTCAAGTCGTTGTCTTCGTCCCAGACTCGCACCTGTTAACGAGGTTGCAATTGATGAACAATACGATAACGATCGACAAGTTGTCCTTTAACAACGGATTTGATAAACTCATGAAGCGTTAATTATATGTACCACGGAATGGTAGGAAGATTAGCGCTTCCGCACGTTCTTCAACTACTCTGTTGTCGCAACGATAACACATCATTTGGCATACAACGGCACTTGGCCGCCATTCAAGGACAACGCTCTTTGGGACAGCAGCTCAGCACATACGGGGAGCAAGTGGGTCTGTATTGCTGCCAAGATCGTCTAGAAAGAACTCTGGTCGTTTCCGCTTCTCTATTCTCCCGTTATTGAATAGCTTCCGACTAAGCTGATGTTCTTTAGGGGGCAAGCTATCAGGCGTTCTTCACAATGGCAAAAGAACTGAAGTAAAAGCTTCTACGAAACATAAGCACTATAGCGCATTACAGAGGTACCAGGCGCAACTAAGCCAAACGATTCACAAAATTCTCCTGTAGCCTCTATTCAGCGTTTTATTAAATATAAGTGGTACCAAAGTACCTCTGCTATGAGGGAGACATTCATGGGGCAGTGTGTACACACGATAAACTAGTACTACTGTATCTCGGTACAGGGTAAAGGAACTATCTTGGGTGACCTACTAACCTTGATGCGATCGGAAGAATTGTGGCACTCGAAGTAAAATTTTTCATTCCACTCCGGGTTCAAATCCCTGGCCATAGTGCGCGTCCGCTTTTTTGTCTTTCCCACCTAAGACCAGCAGATAGTAAACAAATAAGGTTTAGTTCATTTTTCCTCCAACTGCACCGAAACACACAAGTGTCTCCATACAAATATATCTAAAGTCAGCGTGGTATGGTAGTTATGAAAACACCGGCTGGTTTATTAAGAAGCAAAAAGTGGGCCAATCATTTCTAAATGGAGATGAAAAGTGGATCACTACAGCAATGATTCTTTGGTTCGCCCAGGCGTCTACATGGCCTTAGCCAGTTACCTGATAGTCGATAGACACTAACAAGGAGTGAGGTAATCATTGATTGTGCTATGATACAAGTTCGCCTCTTGGTAGAATACAAACCTGTTCCTTTCGAATAAAGTCAATTTATATAACTGAGTAGTTAAATTAGACATTATTTTAATTAGTAAAGACACAGTGTATAAGGGATGCCAAAATATTGATCACGGAAGAGGATTCACGCGGTCTCACCTACCTGGACTGTCACGTAGGGGTCACTGGTGCCGCTTTTATCTTTGGCAATTAGACCCTGCGCACATATGACTGCAAATCCGTAAGTTCATGTTAGGCCCATTACAAATCTAATTACTGATATTTTCACATGCATTTTGGCCGACTAAGGATCGCTCCATATCTAGGTCTTGAAAAAAACGAAGAATCAGGAATCAAGGGCAGTCAGAGAAAAATGAGAAAAGCATTAACGATAATATGCAATGCTTGGCAACCTTAAGGATATACAGAGGCGTCCGTTCGTCATTCGTGATTCCCTCAACTGTGAGAGCCCTAAAAACAGGAGCTTTGAAAGGACTTCAGCAGTTCGCACGGACAGACAAGCAATGCATGAGCATACTATGCGCCTGTTCAACTCATACAATACTGAGACTCTTATCTGCATGTTATAACGTACATAAGAAACATTCCATGGAGAGCAAATTTTAGTATGTGCTGTTAAATAGCATAATACTAGTGCAATGATAGTGTATAGGAAAGCTTATTCGGCGTATCTATCTTTTATGAAAGTCAGCGCTGGTCCACAAACAGACATATCGCCCGAAGGCGCAGGTGCGTCTTTTGAAGTTGTTCGCAGAAATGAAAATGCCTTCATTCTTCAATCTCCCAGTTAAAAAAAAATAGGTATTTAGAGAAACGGTCTACTGAAGTGTACTCGATTCATAAGAAAATGTTGTTATTCCTTTCCGACTTTGCCTCATTTCACGATGTATTAAAATAATGGGGTCATCTACAAGCAACTGCAATCTGCCCAGGGAAATAGAGGAATTTCGCCATAGTGTCACTTTTAAATTAAAACGTTTCATATTATCGTCTGTTCTATAAAATCGAAACGAAACAGACATGTATTCTTAGCAGTAAAAGTTACAATGCTACATGAACACAGCATAACTTGTCAGCCATCTTTTTTTTTATGTTTATGTGCTTAAGACAAACTGCAATGTATTTTTCTTCAGATCGAGACAGTGAAACACCACTCCAGTTCAGGTATTTCCAGCATAAGACTGTCAACCAACACGGAGGAATCTAGTATTTCTATGTCAAGAGGCGGGCTGCAATTTTTTAAATTTCTGTACACAGTTTAAAGTAGCTTCTTAGTTTTGTTTGTACGCCCATAAGTGCGAAACATGCCCAAAAATAGTGCCAAAGCATTTATTAGAGCAACGCACTATAGGCCTAAAAAGGAACTACATTTTTTCTAAATATATTCGGTTAATTCATGTGAAATGCTGAAAACTTATGGGCCACACACCCATAATCAACTGCTACATACAGCGAATAAGATCGGAACAAATATAGCGTACTCACTGCTCGTTTGTGGAGAGTTGTCGCCTTTATTATCATGAACACAATTCTATTTGTGTTTCAAAGTGTGTTTAATGCCTCTTAAAAGCATCCTCTCTCGTTTTGAGTCTAAACGATTTACAGCATTTTACCAGACCCTCGAAATAGTCCCTGTTTGAAACCCAGCACAGCCTTCTAGGTTTGACAGCGATGGGAGGCGCCGAAACGATACCGCTGGTTTGTTTGCTAAGTCTACTTCTATATCTATGGGATGGTGGGCGCAGCTTGTAAATCAAAACACCTTTGATTGTTTCTACAAAGACCATAGTGCGCATAGGAGAAACCATTGGCATTAACAAAGAAAAATATCACCCTGTTATTTAGTTAGTAGGTTGATTTGTAGCTATTTTAGCTACTGCTATGATTATAACCACCACGAAATAAAAGCTATAGGATGTCCCAAAAATGTGTATTCTATGTAACTTTTTCAACCGTTTTTTAACAGTGCAGTGACTGATGCCAATTGCTTGATTTTACTACGGGGAACTGTTTTTCCATGCATTCGGGAAAACTTTGGTGAAGATAGCGAATCCAACTTCTAATAGAATGGAACGTCTATATACTAACATCGTGATATATGTACAGATCTTAATAAGAAGCTTTTAAACAGATGAGTTGGAAATGTATCTCAGAATGGGCCTCCGTTCCCCTGACCTGACACCCATAAATCTGTTCTTGTAGGGATACTTTGAAGCTGAAGTCCACGCCAGAAAATGACGGCACCCGAAGATTGAAAAGCTTGTTAAAGTTTGCAATTCAATAGCTTACTACGCTTTACAGTGTACTGATCAGAAGAATAATTATTTTCAACATCTATGACTGGAAGGAAAATTATACAGTTTTCCTAAAATACCTTGCGAGCTTAAATATTAATTTTATATTAATCAGAATTGAAGTTGTAAGCAGTTAAACTGTGTTCCATTTTTGAAACATCCTGTATGTTGTTCAGGTTACAAGTGTGTGCACCTTGGCCTACCAGGCGACAGACCCAAGAATAGCAGTAAGCCCGTTACGAATTATAGCTTCCGCCACAGGCTCGCATCCAGAAATGATTTTTCGCGCCGATAGCGAATCGAGAGGTGCCAGCAACGTAGGTATAAGCGTTGTTGGAGAGAAGATGGAAGGTACTTTCTAAACAAATGGGTTCTACGAAGACAAAATTGCAAATAAGGGGAGAGCTCGAATGGGAGACCAAGGAAGGGTCCCGTGCTGTTTAACTACACTGTGCAAAAACTGGAAATACTACTCGCATGAGATGTTTGCGCACTAATTAATGTCTTAATAGAATATTTGTTTCAATTGTTCGAGCTACCAGAATAGTGTGATTCGTATAGTGTTTGTTGCCGGCTGCTTATCGTGCTCTCTAAAGCTGTTTGTCTTAGGGCCAAAAAAAGCTGGGGCCTGCCCTGCGATATTTGTACCTGTTATAGCAATTTTGCAGGCCCAATTTGAGGTTCCTTCGAAAATGGATTCCTCGGCCTGCTGCAGCGCCTCGATATGCGTGTCGGGGTCCACCGTGAAGGTCAGCCTGACGGTTGTACGTAAATACACCGGACACAAATTCAAAGAATACACACATACGCCGTACATCGATGACAAAAGCAATAACAACAACAACCCGTAATAACGATGAACACATAACAACAATGATCGCAACAGTGGCGACAATGCGCGAGTTATTTTACTAAGATCGATAACAAGAGTAAAAATAGTAAAGTTAGTAACAAATCAAAATGGTACTTGTAGTGAGATCCCGGTAGCTTAATACGGAAGATACGTGATAAAGCATTGATGACAATACAATGGAAATCTGGTAGTCCACTTACATGCACGCAAATCTGCATAAACGGTCACAAATATATGTTTTCGAATCATTGCTTTATGTGAATTTTCTGGTTCAGTGAACCGCGATGGACTGTGTACGGAGAATACGAACGATTACTTCATGATAACGCGGCTCGTCAAGATGATACGGAACACGCTGGTACGCATAACGCTGTTTTTGTTTCTGATTGGATTGAAGCTTGTCGCGCGGGCTGTGTTTCAGGGGTTTGATAGTAAACAACTAGTTTGAACGAGACATGGGTTTGTTGATCGACCCCCGCATTCGGATTGGCTGAGAAAAATGGTCTAAGGTTGAGTACACGTACATACGTATGTTACCTCAATGCCAGAAAGAATAGTCACAGTGATAGAAGATGAGAATGATCTATTTTATGTTGATTTGTTTATATGCAGTTAACGTTTAGGGCTTGGCATTAAGTGTGCCAGAAGTCATCGAAAATTTTTATCTGCACGCATTGTCTGTATGATATTAAAAGATTTCACTGTATAGCAATCATCAGTCACGTTTTGTGTAGCGCTGAGCGAAACAACAAGGTTCCGAGACAGATGCCTTTACCTGGTCCTGTATGAGGTCAAGTTTTACATACGCTATAGTATTTTCTCTAGTAACGACAAAGAATAGATTTTTTAATCTAACCACTACAGATATAAATGTATTCGTATTTACTATCTGAGTTTCTTCTATTTATAGAAGTATTAAGAGAAATAAGGATATGTCATATTCAAGATAGGATAATCTATGTGTGTATAGGGCTTGGTCATTTCGATATTTATCTATTATAACGCGATTTTAGCTACGCTAATAGTTGTTTGTGTTTTGCATTAGGGAGCCTCGTTTGAAGTGGCTGGAATTGGTGTTCACCACTGTCTGTATAGAGATCTATCGAACTATAAACCTGGTTCAGGTGTGCGAAATGTCGAAATTTCAATGCAGTCTACAACATAACACAAGGCGTTCGCTGGACTTCGTTCCCCCAACGCTTTCGAAACATACAGGACTGTTCAGTGTCACTTGTTTCTCGACGCAAACACAGAGGCAATGCTTATCTCACGCGTCGCTACGTAGACGCACACCCTATTCATAAATCACTAATCAACCTCTAAGCATAACGATCAAAACATGAACCTTAACAGCTACATCAACACTTATGACTGTGGTCATCGTCCCTCATTCGGGACACCGCGAGTAACCATAACAGTATCCATTGACACCCAGGCTGCAAATAATCTTCGTTGCTCCATGTCGACCAGCAGATTCAGAGTTAACGTTCTCCAGTTCTTCATAGCATTCTTCGTACACTCAGTCAAAAGGCCGATCATGTTTTAGGCAACGCCTGCCAATTCTACATACAGACAACAAGGCCTGATATGCGAAAGACCACGAGAAAAAGTAATAACAAATAATAAAAAACGATTATCGTAATAATGGTACGGATATGGGAAGAAAGGAGGCGAACATTCAAACGACAGGTTTGGGCATTTCTCAGGTGATCAATCGCTGGCAGGGGGCAACACCAGTAAACGATATCGAATGAGCGTCCGGGTGATACCTGAATATATCACATGTGTTTGTTAAAGCATTATTGAACCGCACAACCACAGAAGTAATACAAACTAACACAATAACGTTTCGGTGCTAATCGAGGGATTCGGATTTAGCAAGGAAGGTGTCACAGTATCAGAGGTGATCACGCAGTGGAACGGTGCCTGTTTGATGGTGGAACGCATTCAGCTGCTGACTGAATTGACGACCACGTGCTTACAACGATGACAGCAGCAGCAGCCGCAGGAAACTGTTGCAATACATTTGTAGCTAGGCAAATATAGAAACAGTAAGAGGATGCTGAGCATTTCCGAGCCCAGTTCGTGGGCCGAGGTCGACATTCCTCTTGGGGTTCTTACCGGTGATGGCGATCTTGGCAGACCACTTGGACGTGCCATCGAGAACAGACTGCCTAACTGCCTTTAGATGTCCCGCATGGCTCTTGATGTCTACGTTGAAGACGCACCTATATAGGTCCAACGACGGTATCGTCGTGGTATCAGTCACATCGTGGTTGAATGGTAGAAAGAAGTTGTTGAAGAAGCGGGGAGTTGTGGTAAAAATATATTGGAATAATGGTCACACAGACACATACATACACACACATTTTGTTAAAAATTGTTGAAATAAAAATGAATAATGGGAAAGCGCGATAGAACGTGAAATTTCTATTTTTACTAAGATGCACTATGAGCGCGAACAAATACGCAACGTAGTTAAGAAGCAGGCACGTCGTGGGTGATAATCTTGGTTTCCGCAAAATCTTGCTCTGAGTGGTAGACGTTCACAACTGACAAATTAGTGAAGTTCGCAATGTTATTTTTTCTGCGCGCCGATTATATTCCCGGAACATATAGATTCTCATCTAACTACGCTATCTGCAGAAGTTTTGAATATTTCTATGTATACTCTTATTATGTTTATAATATTTTGTATGGAAAATCGGGATACAATTTATCACATGGTTTTTTTATTTTTCTTTTTTATCAATCATCACCTGGTTTTCTAAAATCTGCAAGTCTGTAATGAAAAACTTTTCCCGTTTTTAGCGACACTATAATTGTAATAACCTAAACAAAGTTTCCCTTCAAAGCCTTCTAATCTTCTATAGAAGTATCAGATAATGATTGAACTGTCATGTTCTATATTAACCTACAACAAGTAACGTGTAGCTCCAATAGACATTTCGAAGTTTACGTCAACAAGCGCGCACGCAATGTTTGTTCAGTCATGCAAAAAAATTTGGTACCTGATTAACTGGAAAATTTCTGGTTTATCTCGCTCTCGGACTTTCATCCTCTCTTTCATTGCCGTGATGATCGAATTGGCCTAAAGAAAAAATAGTGGAAATTACAGATTGAATTTTCGTGTGCCGTTAGCACTAAGCTAGCTATACTTGATAAGTTTATCCCTTAAGAATGTACCTATGTAAATTCTTTCCGAACCCACTGCAGATTTTATTCCGGGTGCTTGTTCGGTAATAGAGGAGCGATTTGTTATTTCTAAACTAAAGTGTAAACAGAAGTCTCTTATGTACTAAGATGATTCGGTGGTGTTTACTTAATATACCTTATCTTCTGCTCCATGCTTTGAGGATTTTTCAGCTGCCCGTTGAAGACAATCGGCGTTGAGCAGATCCTTACATTTCTCGTGACACTTTACGCCGCATTCTGTATAAACAAACAAGGCATAAAATAGACGTTAATGAGGAGTTCGTGTTTGCATAGTTAGTTACTAACTAGAATAACTATTGGTAACGTCTAGCCTTCATGTACTTTATTAAGTAGATGCAGTAGTGATATATGAACGTTTTACAACTTTTCTGAACTGAAAAGTCTTATTTTCAACCTTGTTTGCTATTAGTGTGTTGTTCAAGGGAATCGAGACAGGTCTGGAGGCCTATTGGCTACATGAAGTCAATTTAATGATTTCAAACATCCCAAATAGAAGCGACGCCTTTTCATTTTTATGCTATTTTGTATGACATTTGTATTACATGAATAAGTTACCCTAGATAGGCCGCACGAAGTCACCGTTAGCTCTGTGTTGTTTTTACGGCTAGCAACTATAAGTTTTTCATTTGAACAAGTGACAGTGATACGAAATGCTCGATCGTATCTATTACTTTATCAATCTTGCTTCTTATCTATACTGTGTTTCACTGCACATTAAGGTTGGCTTAGAGGTTCAGGTTCGTGCTCCAGAACCCATTGTAACTATATGCCCTTTTGCAGAGTGATGGCAGGCAACATATCCCCGAAATATTCGATATGTCCACGTAAAATGAATTGTAGTAATTCAAATTTTACGTCCAAAACCGCGTTTATTATTATGGACTTCTCTGGAACTGCTACTGCGATAGTGCTCTACACATTTGTTAGCTTTTTTAGTCTAGAGGTCTTACGGCAATTTATGAACTTTTACAAATGTACACATTTGGTAACTTGAAAATAACCGATTACATACGATTACTAATTACACTGCGACGTTAGAAGAACACATTGTTATTAAAAGTTCTTTAAAGAACTAAACAACGACATATTGCATACAAATAGTTCCTTGGTCCTCATTACGTAGGTATCACCTAGTTTTTGCCAGCTTTCGCATGTAATTTACACATGGCTCGCTATACTTGAATATTACAGCCAGACGTAAGGCTTATGAGTAGGGGACCCAACTTTTAATCGAAATTTAAAAAGCCGGCTATTTCGTTGGCAAGAGAACTGGTGTACTTACAAGTACGTGCTAAAATAATCCGTACATTGTGACAAATCACAAGAAACAGCTACAATTAGTATTGCGGTTTTTATCGCCAGTTTATATAATATACCTGTGCAACGAAGTCCCTGGTTTGTGATCCCCCATAACAGTCCTTCGCATTCGTAGCAATAGGTAGGAGACGTGGCGGTCCACGATTGGAAGTTGTGCGGAGTGGTGCTAAAAAACAAATATATCAACAGTATATAGGTAAGTTATTTAATCGACCATATAGTATGATGAGACGTTCGCCAAGCGACTCATTTGTCAAGTATTACTGCTTGACGCTAAAAACATGTGCCTTGTTAAATGGTTCTATATTTTCGTGTCGTTTTTCAAAAATTCAACACAAATACAGAACCTATTTTTGCTTGCGTTGAGAATGCTAAACGCCTTAGTAATGAATACTGATTATAGATAATCGTTAATAATAAAATTAACGCCTAAACAGTGTCCAAATATCTCTTTCGTAGTGCACGGTACGTCCTAAACTGCACATCTGGACGTCTTAGGAAAAACCTTACCTTGACAACACTGCGACAATGTTTGAATAAAATAGTTATACTATTAGAACCACCAATGGAAAACGAGGCTACGTAAAATTAGTCATGTCCTACTTCAAAGTCTCAAAGGGATAGCTACGTCAAGCACGTTATAGCTCGGGCTGTTCTTCGTTGTATATTCCTTGGCCTTTTTTTTTATGTAAATGTAACAAGTGGCCTTAAAGGTTTGCCGTTCAGTTCTACCGCGAATGTAATGAAGTAACAATATTCATTTCATAATGCGATTCGCAAAGAAGGTAAACGGCTCTTTCTGTACTTTTAGCTTGAAATGCAAATCATACCTGAGTTTCCTGACGCTACACCGCCCTATTGTTAGATGAACGAATGTAAAACCACTCAGACAACTTAGAAGATTTTTATGTATTTTCCCTTTCATATATTGTCATATTGTGATTTGGGTCGGACAAAAAACCTTTCTCCTTCCTTCTTTCGCTAGGAAGCTGATAATCAGCTGCTCCGATACAAGATCTCGGTCATTTTCTGCCGAGTCGTTTATTATTTAAATATGTTCGCATCTTTGGTAGTGAAATGGAACCCCGTGCATCTCGCCCACACGGGCTCTCCCGGTGGATCTCCCGACAAAAAAATCAGCTTAGTAATTCATTATTTATTCGTTCGCAAATACGCTACTTATTATAATAGTGCAAGCAACGTGCCGCGTCAAGCTCGTCATTTTTTTGGCCCGTACTATAAATCTGTGATTGTTTTACAGCAAAAAAAGACCCCTCTCCTGGAGATTTTGAACACCTACGTGACACTTTCATCTTCTACATCTATATTATACTGACCTACTGATCGGGTAGATAAGCGCCTGTAGAGTTTTCTTATACACGTGCATTTTGAGTTCTTCGTCATTTAACGACGGACGAGTCACCGCTGGTGTGATACCAGCATTGCGCTTCGTTGCCGCCATCGTCTATTCAGTTCAGACCGGTTCGTATTAGATGGTCACGTGAATCAAGTTGAACGGACCGGGCGGGGTTGCATTTATTGAACGGGACCGATCCGAGGCCGAGACGTTCATTGGATACACGAGACGCGGCGCAACGTTTGGGCGTCGGGCATAAATATAGGGGAGCGTGGCGACGACAGGACAATCCATCGTTCCAGGGCGAAGGCCAGCGTAAGTAGAACACGCGAAAACTATTAGATTTGCTCATCCCGAGTATGCTAACTCAGCACAGAGCGGTAGCAGTGTCTAGTTTAGCGAACAAAGCATCCATTCACGAAAATATAGAACGATAGCACAGAAGATTGTACAGGTCAAATGCAGTGCGTTCGTGTTAAGTATTGCTTCGATGGGGCAGACTTCAGTCGAGGAAAAATGCTAGGTTTTATTGCTGTATATATACATATATGGCAATAAAACCGGCGGAACGGCAGATCGGTATGATCGCAGAAATATATGGCTACGAATCAACCTTCTTTTATCAGTAAACAGAGCCTATTGCAGATTATAAACAGGCTGTCGGAGAGAACCGGCTGGTACCTCACAAACATCCTGAACAAAACGATTTCACCGCGTCCATCCAAATCGTGATGGTGGTACGAAGTTGTATTGGGAACTGTCCACCCGATCGTAGCAATTCTTTGGCATGTAACCTAAGCGTGCAGAAGATTGACTGAAGATAATCCCATAAGATGCGGAACCTCTTGAACAATCGACCGTGAGCGCTCACGTTTGTGCAAAATAAGCCAACGAAGCTGGTGCTAATTTTGTTCGTTGAAAGAGCAACCATGGACAACTTTTCAAACGAAATCAACTTAATCGATTAATTAAAATGCAGCATTTATGTACAAAGCGCGATTTTACATGTAAATGTATATGTCTCGCGTTCAAATTGTATCCGTTGGGTCCGTGACACGCGTTGCGTGCCCGTTACCGAGACTGAGCTAACTGTGAGTGACCCAATATAATTTTAGTCTAGTCGCATTTTCTAGGATTATCCTCTATATGAGCCAATTCGAAATCATTGGCAACCATTGCGAGTTAATGATGGCTTTTCGCAGTAGCTCGATAATTTTCAAACAATTTTCTATTGCAGAATCTAATGCCTATCGCTCTGTTTTTGACTATTTAGAAAATAGAAAGCTACGATAAACGGAACGTGTTGCCAAACAATTGTAAAAATGTCGAAAATTCTATAAAATCAAACAAATTATAGATCAAGTCCAATTGGCATGCGCAAAGCGCGAAGGGGGGTATGGACGTTACTACTCTAGAGTGCGGAAAACACAACGATCTTTGTTGGAATCGTTTGCAGGGCAGAATGGCATTAACGTCTACGACGCTAATCTGTGGACGCTAGCCTGCTACCTCTAACATTAATTACATACAAGCAACAGGGTATGCTAACTAATTATAAGGCACTTATTGCAAAATAACGATGAGGCAGGTCTAAGCAAAGAGGGGCATCGCGAAACCATAGACGATCGAGAAGTTAGTGTCCCGTCAACCGGATAATGATAGGACCGAACTGGAAACAATCGCTATCTGTATTTGTAGATGTAATGTTTCTGAAATGACGAAATTTTGCTTAATGTACATGTGCGTGTTAAGCTATCGACGAATCGTTTTGTCATACAGACACAATAGAATTATGCCTCGGTAGAGTGTACACGACCAGGCGCACAGTAGCAAATATTCAATCCTGCACTCTTTTGAGCACGTTTTTTTTTCGAGCGAACGGATTTCGTGTCATTGTAATGCGTATACGTGAGTGTAGGTCGTATGTAATAAAAAAATAATTACCGTGATACGTCACGGCTCGAATAAATATTGGTACACGCCATGGCCAGACGTACGCTAGAGGGGACGTGAACATCGTTCATGTTGACCTTCTTCAATACATGCGCCTTTCACTAGAAATGAGAAGTTGTGACGATATGATAGTTTACTGCCGGTATAGAATTCTAGGAGGATATATGTTAATAGCTATTGGAACAGTATCGAGCATCAGCAGAACGTTGGGACACAATCTTATAAACCGCGAAGAAAAATGACCGTTCTTAAAGATACAGCTTTCTTGTAACGTAAATATAATGAAATACAAAAGTATGCTAGTCACATATAGAATCGTCGAGAGACGAAACCTCTTGATCATCAATAGCAATTTTTTTTTTGTAAATGATGAGAAACTGTGTTACGTAGCGGAACTAACATGTGCCAGTCATCGAACGACGGGAGCAGGACAGCTATTTACATGTACAGTATATGAGATGAATGATGCAGGCACAGCCGTGAAGATCTGATATCATCACTATCACATTAAGCTCGATCTTCACCTCTATTCAAAAGAGAGGAAAAAATGGTGCCGTAAACTAGTCATTGTCTATCGGTCTTCAAGAAGCTCTTCATATTGCCAGCAAGCAGCGCTGCAACAGAATGAAATTTGAATTATGTTAATACATACATGGCAAGTAGTATAGTTGGAGACTCATTGAAAGAAAGCGCCCGGTAAGCAATCGAACATTTACACGCCAACCAAAGAACCGCGTCGGCTTTGTTGCAGTGCGGATAGGTGTGAACGCCATGATATATATACGATGTGAAAACGTGTTGTAATGTGTTTGTAGCATGTACGTGTTTAACGTTAGATGAAAGTGGAATATCAAAGAAGCGACACAGTGCGCTTAAAAAGGATGCGAAAATAACTTAAAGTCCAATTGAATTTAATAAAATCCAAGACCCAGTCCAGTCAAGTTCAATCAAATAAATTCATTCATTCATTTATTTAAGCAGCCGGTCAAATCAATCGATTTAGTCCAACCGGATGGCGTCCGGTGTGGAAAACTGGGTTTAGCTCTACTACAGTCAGAGGGTAACTTCTCACGCTTCTATAGCGATACAGAATAAATGGAACTTTGTTATACCTTGAGCACCTATTGTCGAGACAGACCGGTGGAGGGCAGAAAGAACATCAAAGTTAGTTTATTTTATATACAACAATATATCCGCGAGTTATCTACATACAACTATATGTGTATATATATACGTCTCGTTACAACTCGAACAGTAATAGTAAGAACTGCTGACCGCTTAATTATCATTATGTGATAGATAAAAGTAGTAAATCTGGCACATTGTTTATCCTCTTCCTTCAAGCTTTCTATGGCCTCGAAAAACGGTCCGATATTCATTTGTTTAGAATCCTCTGGGTAAATTATTTGAGTTTTCTCTATCGTGGCATCAAGAAGAAAACTGGGTAAGTACATTATGCCCGGTTCTTAGACAAATATGCACGCAAAAAACTGTTAGTAACTGTTCTGTTACATAGAGAGATAAATTCACTGGTTACCTATTTGCGCTTTATATAGCCTTCATCCTTGCATTGGCGCGTGGTTTCCGTACCTTGTCCTTTCTATGCCCGAATGAAATAGTACTTACGAGTTCGCTGACGAGAGGAATGGACTTTCTTCTGGGCCGGATGTCGGGCATGGAGTCGATGTTCGAGTAAAAGGTATTGTCTCCACCGGCAGAAACGGCCCCAGGAGCCCCACCAGCTCCTCTCCGAGGACCTCCACCATCGCGATTGCTGCCCGCAGACCCCTGTGACGTTAATAGTGCCGAGAACGGATAACAAATGGGGGACGAAGAACAGCGGAAGAAATTCAAACGTTAGTGTGATTACAGTCGTCAATCGTACGCGTTTGTACGCATGCGACGTTGAGCGGATAACGTAGAGTTGCAAAGCTTAGCCAATATAGTATGGGGGCGGTATGATTCTATTGAAAACGTTTCGTACAACGCGGTAGATTGCTAGATCTACTGCATGCGCACAGACAAGTAGTGCTTGAAAAATGGGATATTTTCATTTAATTTGTCAACCTCTACTTAACGTGACTGTATCCGTTAAATTGACAATGAATTAGTATTGCCCTTAATGTGTTATAGAACAATTATAAACACTAAACGCTGAAACGAGCTTTGAAACTCATTAGAATATCGACTAACATTGCTCAACTGAAGTTACCAATCAGCTACCGTATTTAGAGTGGCTCCAATATGTCTTGCTTTAAACTTACTCGTAAACTTACTACTCGGCCAAATTAGTAGTTTAATTATTCTTTAACGTCCGAATAGGCCTATTTTGTTAGAAGTTAGGTGCTTCCACATGTCCAGTATAATAGATATTTACGTCTATGAAAGCGTCGTTAATCGTGAACTGATTACCCAGTATGGGCGTGAAAGCAGTGAATGTTGCCTTCGCAAGTCCAATTGCGTGTGACCATAGTCGAAATACACCGCCTGCTAGGGCAGACGCTCTGTTACGTCCACCCCCTAGAAATAGTCGTTATTTTCATTAACTCATTTTTGACTTGTTCAAAACAGATTGCACCCAAGCCAGACTGTGTTCTGAAATTTACGTAAAGAAAAATCTATATTTTCTTTTCAATTGCGATACGTATTACATGTATATATGCCTTAAGACCAAATCATTAGAGACAAACAATGCTCTCGCTCAAATCATTGCTTGTTGCTCTTTAATTTAAGCGAAGACGTCTACGCCCATACAAAAGCCCAATGCGGTGCTTCAGTTTGACCACACGCACTATCGCGAGCCACATCAATTATCATTGTGCTAATCAATGTCAGGAGATCACAAAAGGAACGACCTACGTACGCTCTCACGCTATTCTTCAGAGACGAGAAATTTCCTTGCTAGGACAGAGCGCCAGATCCCACAAAAGACGAGAAAAATTTGAGATCAGGTCAATTACAATAGGATTAATTTCCTTATGTGACGGGAGACGAGTTCTTGCTCAAAGGTAGGGGAGGGGAAGGCGGCAAAAGATGGCGTATTCAGTAGTAGGTCGTACCTGAACGAGTTTTCTTTTCGCCTTTGCTGCGCCTTTGTTCCGTTTTACTGTGTCGTGCGCCTGTCTGACGGCTCTTATAATGATGAAGATTATCCTCGATAGCTATCGGGGACGACGCCGTCGACGAGACCAGTCACTAATCGACCCTTTTGATTGCTACTGAAACCGCAACGAAATTTCGGTTTTCAGTTAGCCTTAAGTAAGGCTTTCTTTTCACCGCTATAGGCCCACTTCTGTGACCCTCCTTTGCTCGTCCCGTTAAATCCACTTCTGCTCTTTTCTGTTTGTGCCCTCATTTATCTCGTAAATCGCTCGGAACGCGCGCCGACCGCTTGACTCCATCGATTTGTGTCGTTTATAAATGACGCGTCAGAGTGCCGGAAAGAGATATGGTGTTCGAAGTAACGTGGGGCTGCGGCAGAAGCTACCGGCGGTACCAATTCCTTGACCGAAAGATCAACCTATTGGAAAAACCCCGCGCTTTATACTAGCTTTACTAAGCGATGTTTGCTTAAACGTGCTTCTCGGCTTCAACAAAAGGCGGAGAAAGGAAGAGTCGGCTGCTTGAAATAAGAGTGTAATACGAACCTGGCGAAAGTTAACTGCCGGTTGTGATGACGTTAGTTTCTCTAAAGGACTACACTGCGTGATGGGGCCAGAGTCTACGAAGGCGCGGTGACCGATAAATCTGTGCTTCTGACGCTAGCGATCGTTTAGGCATGAAGGGCACCGTAGCCGATCAGAGACGACGTGTGAATGAATCGGTTCATATTTAATAATCATCCGGTAGTGGCTTTTAGCATGGCAGAGACAAATTTCTAAGAAGATCACGAATTACTGAAGCGCTCGCAGCTGTCTATGTCTTTATTTTAGGAACTTGTTTCATAACACCCCACTTAATGGTAATGGCTAATATTTATCGTACTAGCTTACGGATATTATTCAAATAATAATTATCCATGGCTTGTGGCACAATCAGCTGTAGCATTCCCATCGTCATTACACCGTTGGCTATGAGTCAAAAATGCAATAACATTTTCTATCTTCCGATAATATATTAGATTTTTGCGTCTCCCGCAATTCCGTGTTGCAGCCAGCGCTTTTGCGCCTCCCTTACCTGGTAATCAACCTCAAATGCAAAACACAGGTGACTGACTGGCTAAATGACCCCCAGGGCCATCATGTTTCGTCGTTTTCTAATGACCGACAAACGCGGAATAACCATTATGACGCCCCTTTTCTGCTATAGCGATCGCGGCCACCGTCGCAACGCCTTAACTGATCATTTTAATGCAATTGAAACTTCTACCATGAAGCAGTTTCAACTTGAGATTGAATAGTAGCAATGAAGGGCACAGCACAGTCAGGGGTACGTAGCGCAGCGTGATCAAGCCAAGACTCACTAGCAGGCATATAAGAATTGCGACTCAATGTCGGTGGGGTCTTGGGGCTCAATCAACACAATCAACTCAGCGGCCTCAACCAAAATCAGCTTCGCTTGATTCGGGTTTTCGGCCAAGAAGGGCCATAGGAGCTCATGACTTTGTTGCGATCTGTACGAAATGCAACTAGCTTGATATAGAAAATGTCATTGGAGTAAACTTCTTAAACAAGTGAGCTGCGCCAAAGGACCCAAGTCAACGTAGTACTGACGACACCGGTAGATATGCACAGAGTTAGCCGTCCCTTAAGGAAATATCAGGACTGAAGAAGGTTACTACACGATATAGCTGAGATGGCTCGATAGATGCCGCTATTCGACATACAGCAGAAAATTTGAAACATGTCAAGAGACAGATAATGCCTTAGTGACTAGCAGTATCAAAGAGAGTGTACGTATTTTACGGATGACCAAGCTACAAGACGGAAAGAAAATCGGAGAGGTAATGCCGCATCACCAAAGGAATGGCGTATTTAGCCTTCCCTTTTCAGGCTGGTTTACTTTAAACCTATGACAATGTCCTAGTATGAACTGAGGTGGTGGTTAGGATCAGTCGTATAGTTACACATGAGATTTGGATTTTGTAGAGAAGGAGATGCTTTTCTGGCAGTGTTCATCGATTGAAATCATACGTTTCTGCGTTATATATATGCATATGAGACTAAATCAGCATGCCTGAACTTCCTATACAGGTAGGTTGTAGTCATTTTCGTAGTTCTAGAGAACTTTGCCGGTGCACTTCGTGTATGGGCGCAAGGTAGCTACTAGCACGCCCTTCTGATCTTGCGAGGTTTCCGTCTCTAACGCTTCTGAACGTCCACGAAGAATAAAAGTTTTACCGTTGTTGTTATTGCTACTGCCATTAGTTTGTTGCTGGTGATGACGACAGCGGTAAAGCGTACGCTCTTTTTAATGTACAATGGAAAAAACTTCGGCTGAATGAGTGTTCGGAAGTACGCATGATGTGACACAGCGTACGCTATCGCTATACTGCTAGATGACACTACAACAGAGCACAGTACCATACAGGCGAGCAGCCCGTCGAAGTTTGAATCTCTCGGACAGCCTTCAAGTAATTAACCTCAGGCTTCGGCCTTTTGCTTTCCGCCATGTGTGTTTTCATCCAGATCGACGTTCCGCTTTTGAGTTTAGTGAGCCTCAGCCCATTGGTCGGCGTTTTATTTCTCAAACATCATTATTCTGCACTTTGGCGGCGGCGACGACAGCAGCAGCAGTAAATCCCCTGGGATGTTATGATCACAGTTGTTTTGTTTTATTGTGTGGTTTTTCTTATATGCTGTTTCAATCGCCAAAGATATGAACCTAAACTGTTGTGTATTAGAGAGCTAACTAATCTTATTTCCTTCATACATGTTATTATTATTTCTGTCAAATAAACATGATAAGTAGTGCCAAAGTAAAACAACATCCTGCCTTCTACCCTAGATGGCGTCTAACCTAATTCCTCGTAGTATTATACCGATATAGCAGCTGAAAGGATGACATGGAAGATATATGCATGAACGTGGAAATGCCTATCCATTCGAAGGTAGCAAAGATAGAGGTAAAAACGCTCGATGTCAGACAAGCCTGTTCCCAATGTGTACCTATGGAAAGATAATAATAATAATAATATTGAAATAGGTACGTAAAGTAGTGGTGGGAGTTTCATCACGTTGCCACATCCTATTAATAGCAGCCTGAAAATGCATCGCAGCTGCTACCGCTAGAAGCACGACGTTGGATCCACGAAAGGTTTTTGGCTCACGGCAGACCCCAGCAGCAGTCGCCAGCGCATCCAGCCTTTCGATGTAACGCTTCGTTTCTATTTTTTTCCTACATCCTCTGAACGTTCTATTCTTAGACTAGATGTAAGTTAGATTAGCTTTAGCGAAATTTCCCGATTTGACTTATACTTTCGGTAAGTTTTACCTTGAGTAAGTTTAGCCGAACACGCCCAGCTACCTGCCACACTGCCCTTGGCGGGTTTTTACAGACGACCCCCGCTAACTGGCTACGTAGGGTTTGCGCATGATCGTTGGCGTAACTCAATAGGTGGAAATGGTAAAGATTACAATGTCAGCTGCAGGAATCGACGGGGTGCATCTATGCTAGGAAACGAAGTTGACGATCTTGTTGAATTGAGACAATTCGTAAAAGTAATGGTGGTCACTTGTCACCGTCGACTTTAGCAGACCGCTACAGACGAAAGACCATCAAAGAGATTCTTGCTAGCAAAGTATTGTACTACAGATATAACTTTTTGACAAAATTGCTACTATAGAGAA